CCTTGAATAGCCGTAGTGCTATAAATTTTAACAAAAAGTGCATCAAGCCAGCCCAACTTGAATACTGTTAGATAAGTTTATCCATAAAAGTAAATACCGGTAACTTTAAAACTGACCACACATCTTGCACTACGAGACCAAGCCGTTCATGGTTACATATTTAAATAACTAACTCATAAACTTACGATTATATTAGTGCGGTCCACCATCAAAGGCCAAAGAGAAAAATATCTGCTCCTTTTTGGTGCTTGTTAACTACCTGGTTTGTTCCATAAACACTTTGTCGGTAATTATCACAAGGTTATCCACAAAGTTATGAAAACTGCCTCCTGCGAAGTTTCCATTGTGCTAGCGTATAAAAGCGGTATTTGAACAAGGACAAACGGTATGCTTTCGCAACGTTATGCAACGCAGTTACTATTTTATGAACTATTCATTGTTTGCTAAATAGGACGTGAAATGGGGCAAGCCATGGCTAAATTGCAAACTCCTGATCAATTTTAAGGCTATCGTTTGGTAAAGCTTTCAGTAACCACAGTAATCTAGAAGCATCCTTGTGAAGGATTAGTGGTAATGGCCCGATCATTGTCTTTCATTGTGTAACTTTGTGCTTTTGGGTTTAATTTATGACTGACAAAGCACTAATGAATGACTTTAATGGGGGCGGATACATTTTACGGCCAACGATGTGGTATTAAATTAATCTATTATGAGCTTTTGCTAAGTGCTGCATTGGAGATCATTGGTGCGAAAAGACAATCAGAAGTTTAATACTGCGGACGTCTTGTTTATCTACAACACAGTTAGATTCTTGAGCGAGAGTTTAGTCATAGATCATCGCTACAAATCCGCCGTCAGGCTTACCGAGGTAGACTCATTTATATAATTATAGCAAGACAACCTTTCCCCTCTTAACATGTGCCAACCGGTAAACGAAATATTCGTAAGTCGTATCAGAACAGCCAGTTAATGATTGTGGCAGTTTACTTGCATTTTAGGAACTAAAATGCATTTACTGGAACAAAATTTCGATTCCTAAATTTTTTGGACTTAATAAATCCTCAGAAAAGGTTTTGAAATCCTCTCTTACACTGATCACGATAATATTCCTGTTGGTTGTGTTCCCACAGTACTGCACTGAAATTTCGTCCCAGTCATAGTGTTATGCCACTGACACCGTGTTGTTCGTAACATTTTTGTTTTAATGTTGTTGTCACTCTATTGTTTTTGTTCATGGTATTGTATATTTATTTTTAAATTTGTCTACCAAGAAAAAAAAATAAACCTCCAATTTAGTCTAGTAAAGAAGAAACGAATATAACTCTTTTACGTGTTATTGCTGTTATTTATTTCGACAAAAATATTTCACAGTCAATTACACATTGAAATTTTATGAATGTAAATTTAGTGAATTCATTGGGCATGATTGGATTTTCCTTATTTTTAACCGACCTTAAGCCAAAGAACTTGAAAACGAGAAGATATTTGGATTACTTCACTAAGCCTTGAACTGCATCATCTTTATTTTTTTAGTTATAAATTCATGTTCTGGTGACTTTCGCAAGCGATTTAAACGAGAAAATTAATTATCATAATATCGGAACCCTACCAGACTTAGTATGCCAGGTACTTTGTTTGTATATAGCATTCTGCCACGGTTATGTATCCGAAATCAAAGTTGAAATTAAGTAGGATATCATAACTCTCATCAGTGCAAAAAGTACAAAAAAGCCACCTTCGTTCTCATTTCATCGCTATCAATGTAAACAATATTTCTTAGAGCTTTGCCCCAGTGGTTCATTTGATGAACGTGACAATTTCGCGTTATAAAACAGAGTCATTTCTGAAATTTCACTTTATAAGATGCATCACATCTATTTTTTTCGTAACATAACTCTGTTGCTACTCTCAAAGCAATCAACAAAGTTACAAAAACCTTAATAAACTGATAGACTGGCGGAACAAGACAACATATACACATAATCAATTAAAAAATCATCAGTCATGCAATTACTTTGTAATTAGACTGTATATATTTCAAAGTGGTAATGTTCAAAGAAATATATGCACAAGTCTTCAGATGAAAATTTGCTTTCATACGCGAAGTGTTATCACAATTTCGAGAAAGAAATGGCGAGTTAAATTGCCGCAAAAAAATGAAAAACCCCAACAATTAATTCCTCAATTTGTTATCATTTATTCAGCAGAATAAAGCATGTTTAGCAGCTCAAAAAACAAACTAAATTTAGGTCATGAAATTACTATCTGGATTTTTTTCATTCCTATTAACAGTCTAGATAATTTCAGGTCAGTTTCAGGATTATACACTACTCGGCAACAAAAGGTGTTTACAAATTTTTGCACGAAATTTGCACAGAGACCCCTAAGAATTTTTCCTCCTGATTTTTTTTTTCTAAAAATCGCAGAACTGATTTTCATTTTCGTTTTCATTTTCTTGCATGCTTCCTTGGCTATTAGGATGTTACCGGTTTTTCTCATCTGTTTTCCTTTTGCTGTTTCTAATTGGTTTTTTAATCAGTTTTCGGTAAATCTTTCATGCAAATAGTACCAGGACACAGATGGGTCGAAGAGTGTTGGGGGATTGTTTTCATTATAATGGTAATAACGATAACGTTCTGGTGTATTTTTCCTTTTTCTCAGCTTATTGCAACATGAATATATTGTAATCCCCTTCAAAGTGATGAATAATTCGGCCGCACTTTGCCGTAAACCATCTTGTTATTAAGACAAAGCAGATGCCACTTGACTCAAAGTAAATTAGTGTTTTTATTGTTTTTGAAAGCAATTAAGTCCGTTTCAATAACGGTATATTTATGGATGCTTTCTGAAGATTTCATATTCCTATGGGGAATTAAAAACTATTCATCAAGGCACCAATTCACACTCTGACTAACAGTTATCCAACCAGGTTCAACACTGAGACAATTTTATCCTTCTTCTCTTAGAATGTGCGTCCAGTCGTTAAAAAGAGTTCTTGAAAAAGAACACCAGTTCCTTGGGGAGTTATTGTAGGATACCAAAGGTAAGAATTCCTCAAACATAACCAGTTTTCATTCATTTTATTTTGGCTTCCTTTGAGGGTAAAGGGGCCGGATTTTACGATAATTTTGTTGACTGGCGTTACGACAAAACCTTATTTAATAAGGGTCCCGGTAAAATGAGTGTTGCGCTAACCGTGATAGAAAGGAGCACGGAGAAGGTCCCCATAGCATGAACCCTGAATCCAGGTCAAGTAAGGCGTTTGTTTGTAAACACTGTGTAGAACTAGTTGTGTTTCATTACTAGTTTTATATCACTTATGCTAAAAAGTCGTTCGACGAACAATATTCCATTCATTGATACAACCAATTTTACACTTTCAAAGTCAAACAAATACCAACTGCATTATGTGCTATACATTTTTATGGGCATTGCGATATTCGGTCCAACAAGAAAGAGTGACTAAATTTGGGACCTATTTAATCCTCAGTAATGCTCCTTGGAGCTCTTCTGTCGTAACAGTGAGCGACGGAAAAGGTACCCAACAAACCTTTACCTAAATTAAACTGTTTTCGATATCACCTTGGTTACAACTGGCAAAAAAAACGATACTATTGAAACGACAGTGTCGAAACTTATTCATTTAATTTCTTGACATAATGAAAATAATAAGCGCCCTTATCTCAGAGAGGATAAATTTTGAGATTGTTATTTGAGAATCATTGCTGCCTTTTTTCCGAAAAAAGAATCACCGTACAGTTCTAGACTAGGGAGAGTAAATAGATTTTTAAATCAATTTTTTGTGAGGTGAGTTTTCATGATGCTCTCTTAATGTACCAATTGTTGATATAAGAGGGAAAAAAGCTCACCAAACTCAATAATTTTTTTTGCTCAAAATTTAATTGAAGTAGCCAGTGATACGTTTTGGTGTATTCTTATTTCGCTTTCTCTCCTGTAAACTATTGTGTATGAAAAATGTTAGCGGAGAGTAATTGCAGTAGGTTACAGTCCTTCTAGTGTAGCAAATCGAATCTCGTTCAACCTTGCATGTTCTCTGGCATCATTTTCACAGTTACGTTTCTGTTCGACACTTATAATTGCGATGATTATTCTGCAGTTTGGATAACTGATCTCTAATTATTCCTTTTGATTTAGTTGTATGATGTTAGCGTTAAAGATAAAGATTGAAAACTGGAAAACTGCATGCAATAAGGTTTTAGTACCTGAATCGATAATGTCAATTCTTACAAGTTTACTCTCAAAAAAGGGGGCTTGCCAAAATTGTAAGGTTATGTGGTATAATTTAGTAGACGCTGGCAAAATAATCTCTTTGGATGTCAGTTCAAAAGCTAACAAAATATTTGTCTGCTTCTATTAATTCCTCTCACGTTTTCCTTTGAGCCAGCGCCCTTCGGTAATTGACCGTCGGGTGTTAATCAGCCGAATTAATGGTATAACGTGGCAGTTCAGTGACCTTGCAAGGTTCATTTTGCAAACGTTTCAAAATTCCAAACAAAGTCGCCAGACCGACTGGAAACCATCCTTTGATCAATATCAAACGTGGCTTATTAATAAGTAAATTTTAAAAAATGTGGTTAAAAATAACCTGCAAAACACGTGTTCATGCCAAAACGCGGTGACCTGATTTAAGTGCTGTTATAGTGCCTAAATTGAACAATGGAAATGCATCTAAGCTTAATGTGGTCAAGACTAAAAGGACAAATACGTTCTGGACCTAAATACGTCAAACTATAATGGAATATTAGGGTTTTTGCTCAGCACATGAACACCATTAAGAAGGTAAGGGGAACAAGATAAGAATTAACCATTTTGTCATGATTTGAAGCGAGCCACCATCGGTATGCCTAGGTCCTGTACGTGATATTCACTCTCGTCTGTAAGTCACATTTTTCTGGGTTCGTGAAAGATTGAAATCAACATTTTGTTCAAGTTTTATTTCGTTTTTACCTTGAAGCATAAAATCACCCATCTTTCTTCGCTATATCCCAAATAGTTAAGCTTTAATTTTCTATCGTAGAGGTCTACAAATTGATAGCTTATCTCAAGTGCAAAGTGTCTCACATTGTGACAAACGCAATAGTAGATGATTCGAATTTATCTGCCTCACAGGTGTTCTCGCCTAATTTATCTCTTTATCTTTACAATTTATGTATCAAAATCGGCACACACCATCGGTAAGAACATTCTGACTGTATTAGCTACACGCTCTCCTGACGTTCGTGTTATGTTCTTTGCTCAATTGAAGAGCTGAGACGGTTATTTACAATAATAAGGTCATCTGAAACAGAAATTTATTAGCATGAGTCATATTAAGGACCGGTTAAACCTTATAGACGAAAAGTCTGAAAAAATACGACTTGAACATCAATATTTATCCAGCTTCCGATTCAGTGATTCAATATGACCTCGTTGTTGACTGGCATTCTCAAGTTTTCAGCAATTCTTCGTGACCTTGAGTCCATTCAGAGGGGATCAACAAAATAAAAATAAGTCTTGCCAGAAGCCATGCCGTTAAAGATTAAATTTCATATGTTCATTTCGTTGCCGGATGTCAATTTCACGCTTGTCAACTTGTCCACACAAAGTTAAATCAACAGAAGAACTTCACTTTAGTAAATATAAGGGACCAAAATTCTGATTTTTTCACTGTGTGTTTCTCTCACCATCTAAAAGTTCTGAATAGCTACTGTTTTTGCTTACACAAACTTCACTGATGTAGAAGATGCATTTGTAGCCTGCTTTTCAATCAGAATATAGCTTTTCGTGACTCAGTCATTGATTTGTACGTGATTTGAAGCCTATACTTGTAGTTTCTTTTTTTAGGGTTTCAGGTTAATCGAGTTGAACTCACGTTTATGCTGAACTAATCCTTTTGAGTGGCAACAAGATTTAAAAAAAGGCCCCCAGAGTGAAGTTTTTACAAGGGAACGTAAATTTAAAAATTGGTAACGTTCCTCCTTAGAAACAATATATAGCCAAAAAAAAACTACAATATAAAGCCACTCAAAGAAGCACACCTGTCGTTGCGTGACGCGTACGTACGTCACAGGGGGCGGCGGAAATGACCCGCATCAAGTGACGCACGTAAGGATTGATAAAAAAAGGACCACGGTTGTTTGAAAACACAAGCTTTAAGCCAATAAGTCAAGATTAAGGATTAACAAAATTGCCTCGTCCGAGTTTCGAGAAGGTCCTCAATTTTAAAGAAACAAAAAACACTGGTCAAGCAACGGTTTACATCTCGGCACCAAGCTTGATAAACAAGGAAAATCGCCGTCTGGGAGAGAGATGTTTCTCACGTGAATTTTGGTAAGTTTTTTCCTTGTTTCACTCAAGCCTGGCCCTAATTTGTTACTGTCGAGAGAAGTTAAAAGGCTGAAAACGAATAGCAACGAAAATCAAATTATAACGGTATTCAGCGGCGAGTTTATTTGAACTGAAAGAATTGTTTTGAGAACTGGTTGAAGAGAAACTCTCAACCTTGTTTACACAGGGTTTAATTTCGTATGCGATATTAGTTGTAAATTCAAATTATGTCAAATATGGCTCATGTTGTAAAATTCTGTTTTAACGGTTAATTGCAGAAGTGTTTGTCAAATATCAGTGTATTCGTTACTGGTGTTGAGCTTTAGTTGTGTTTCTTTGAATGATCAAGTGGAAGTACAATACTTTCATTTAGTGCGATTGTTATTACCTGCACATTTTTATCGAAATTAATTCTTCTATTTCTGCCATTTTGCGAAGAAAAACAAAGATAAAGGTAATTGAAAAATAAATTATTCTTTCAATTTCCCTCCATGTGGTTTACAATTCATATCACAGACGTAACCGAAACACTGTTTTTACCTCAATTGCTGCTTCGCTTTCTTGTGCGGGAGTTCCTAACCGGAACCGGAAACAGAAAACGGTCACACACACACGAAACCACGAAATCATCCATTACCTTTCCACTGTAACAACGTATTATTGTAAGGATATCAAAGCAATATAGCTTTCGCTACGATAATAATCCATGAGCAATTCACAACTTTCGTTCGTATTCAATTATATTTACAGATGTTTTTCCCCCCCTTCGATCAGCAAATGCCCACGAAAAAGATGCATGACAACAAAACCGATCGCGTGACATAACATCAAAACCTGATTGAATCGACCGTCATCAGTGCCCACTAGGGAAACTTTGAGCGAAACACGTTCTTTTCGTTTGCTAAAAACATTTTGTAGTATTGATTGGCATTCGTAGCGGCTCCATTTTAAAAGCAAAAGTTATTTCCATCAGTTTCTCATTTAAATTTTCTTGTGTGCAATATTCTTTATGGATGAATGCAAGGCATCCATGTTTTTAATTTCACAATTCAAAACGTTTGAACACCATTGATTTGATTCAAAAGATCATAACACATTCAACCTTTATTTTAATTTTTTGAAGTAACAGTTTCTTTTAGTGAGAGCCGAACATGGATGAAAGAGTGAACAAAAGATCCGGCTTAAATCTGAGCTGTTTCTGGACACCTCTAGATTCCACCCCCTCTGTCACGTATCCACCGTTCATGCCTCCCTTAAAATGTTTCCATATGTCATCGCTCAACTCACGCAATGTCGTAGACTATGAGTGACGTCTGCATTCCATGGATAGTTTGTCATGTCAAATGCCTAAAAGATATTAGCTTAGGAAGGTTTATAAAGTTCAATATGAAGTACACAATTAGCTTGCGTTGCTTTTTAAAAGCTCTGCACATGGCTACTATCGGTAAAAAGTTTGTACAAGCCCAGATACACGACCTTGTTCATATTTTTGTGTCATTAAATTGCTACTGTAAACAGTATCCAAAACATTTTCCGTATAGTACTTCTCCAAAAGATATTAAACCAACTTTCGATGAAAAAATTTGAAAGATAAAGAACAGCTGGTTACTACTGTAAAAGTCTTCAATTGAGATTAAATGTACCTCTGTAATCATAAAATGACCTTTGTAGAGAAACACTGTTTAATTGTAAACGCTTCTAACAGTTCAAAGCTGAAAAAATTCTCAATTGAAATTAATTAGCGTTATTTTCCTTGTTGGACAGAAGAGGTTAAAAGTGCATTGCCTAAATGTTAATTTCAAAATTATGCCTAGTTGAGCCAAGCCGTACTTTGATCACCAGAAAAGAATCTTAACGGCGTACATACCTTGTGAACTTAAGTGCTATCCACTGAGTTGATAAAATAAATTGCCTACCGTAAAGAGTTTCTAAAGATGACGTTTAAGCGTTAATTAGCCCTTAGTCCGAGCTCTGATTGACGCAGCATCGTATTTTCTTTAGAAACTTACCCCCTTTATTCATTTGTCGTAACTACAATAGACCAACGTTCTGTAGTTGAGCTACAAAGGTATCTTTTTTGGAAAGGAGACGAATTAGGGGGTATCTTTTGTTATGAATTTGAAAGACGTCAAGCCGAAAAGACTGCATTATTTCAGTATCATTTGAACACACAGATGATATGGCTGACATGGTTGCTCTTTGGAAATCACAATAAATATTAGCTTCACAAAGCGAATTACAAATTAATTAGAATTAATCGAGTTAATTCAGCACGTAAAATAGAACAGAAACTGTCGGTTTACAATCTTAACTGAGCAACATCTCAACAGGAAATCAAAAACGAGTCGAGACAAAATTTTGATCATAACTTAAAAAATATACCACTCACAGGTGCAAAGTTATGAAAAGTTCACGGCTAAGAAATTCTAGAGCATCCTTGTCAAATTCTTGACGAAAAGAAAACAACCAACTTCATATACCACGTCTGAGATATTAATAACATCACAGGTTCTATAAGCCTCGAAATAATATTCAAAATTATAACTGTTGTTGCTGTTAAGAGGAGATTCCACAAGCACAACAACTGCCTCATAGTGAGAATCTAATGGCACCTACTCAGGCCTCGTGTCACCTTGATTACCATAATAATACTAGAAGGCTCTTGGAGACGTTAGTAACAAAAGCCATGCAGTAATATATTATAATATATCATTAGTACTGTACTCTCAAGTTTAAGAGATTGAAGTCAACGAACCTATATAAAAAATGATTTTCGAGGAAGACATTACCGAAACGTGACCGGCTTCCAGTTCGCTGGTTTATAACAAAAGAGGACAATTCGAGGTTCAATGAACTATGTTTCTGTTTCTAAATATGACTTTGTCGCGGCCGAAATCGGCCAATCAGTTCGCGGCAATTAGTGTCCACGCAAGTTACGGGGGACTATTGAATACATATTCCGGGGGCTGTAGTCAGCTGCAAGCAACAACGTCATATGCTCGTGACTGCTTGTGACTAACTATGTATGTTTAGCTTTCAAGGTCATTTGAAACAAAAAGAAAACCCCCGAGCTACCAGATCGATTTGTTTGTTGACAGGCGCATTAAGGACTCGCAATCAGCGGGTGAAGCAAAAGGGAAAGAGGCCACGAAACAGTAACTAGGTAGGTTGTTATGTTAATCCGGGCTTTGTTAGCCAATAACTCAAAGTAAGTTCTGTGTATTGTGCTTTTCATGTTCAGAAACACTGCAGTAATTAATTTTCAATGTAAGTATCGTTAAAACAGCCTGCTTTTTAATAGCAACGCGATGAATAACGATTATTGGGTTTGTCGTGCGGGCCATTCAATCAGCGAGAAGTAAAAACAACTTTAAAAACACAAGCACACAATGATTGCTCGGCCAAGCGGAGCAGCGGTAGGCACAGATGAATTTTTATTCTTAATTAATTTCGATAGAGAAAAGTCTCAATGCGCTTACGAAAATCGTCGTTTAACTTTGTAAGTTATTTTGGTGAGGAACTGCATGTTGTCAGACGAAACTAAAAGATAAACGACACTCAATCACGCCCAACTTTTCAAGTATAATTTGGAAACCTATAGCTTCGTGAAACTTCAATCAACCCAATTCAAATTGTTCGTTTGCATTTTCAATATGAGTACAAAACTTTCGAATTAATATTTCCGGCAACAAAACACCTTCCTAATCGCCTCTATACCTATTACTTAAAACAATTTGCATAGACCAAAAACACAGTAGGATTGACAGTTTACCATAAAAAGCGATTAACGAGTAATTTGGAAGGTTATAAATGGCCGCCTCGGACTACCAAGTTTACGCTTTACCGAGTTCTTTGTTCGCGATGTACTGACCAATAATGACAGAAACAAACCAGTAGACACTTTGGAGCCTAATATTTATAACCATCTGAGCGAGTCCGTGTGTTGGTAGAAATTATTTCTATTGAAGGACGTTTACTGTGAAAAAAAAAAGGAATTTTACTTTTCTGTAAGTTCCTTAAGACTAAGGGAAGTGTTAAGCAAATTAGCACGATTTTTCAGCGACAACGGAAGAATTGGAAAGCAACGAGCTCAAGAACTTTCATCGCAAGCGTATGTAAGTATCAACAACACAGTTTGGTGTTCACTTTGAATTCCTCTTTCACAAACGAATTACGATCAGTAATCTCAAATTCGGCGACCACTGAAACACCACTTTGCACAGCCTTGTCCCTATCAATAATTTCTACACTTGTTATAGGTTTTAGGAAACCTGCAGAGGTTCATGCCGCGCGGTCAATAACCAAGTTATCTGAAGCATTCTCTTGGTTACTGCACAAAAATGTACAAAAAGCTGCGCTATGTAAAATTTTGAGCGCACAGAAGGTCCTGATAGTTTTCCAACTTTGTATTACGAGGTTAGCGCGGTCAGTCTCATAGTTTATCGCGCCGTCCAAAATCGATCGGAATTTTAATTAGTTTTGTAAGCAATTCGACTACCAAATCTTATCCTAAAATTCAGAGAGGGAAAAACAATGCAACATTGAACAACATTGAAAGAAACGTTGAAAGATTGTACATGGGGTTTCGTAGAGTCTCATGAAACTGCTTTATCGTCAGCACATGAAAACTGCTACCTACCCTAAGGAAATTAGACGTAGACGAAAGAGTATCTGAAAGAACAACCGTGAACAGCTTTTGTGATCTCCCACGGATGGTGCTAAAAAGCTTCACTCAGCTGTTACCATTCAACTAGCATTCTAATTAACGCTTTAAATTGAGCAACAATTAACATGACACTGGTTCGTTTCCTCTCCTACCGTTAAAAAGTATATTTCATTTTTGTATATAAATTGGGCAGAATTATTTAGACGGTGAAATTTCATTTTGTGACAGACTTGCACTTGGAAAAAATGCTTATGTTTTGAATTGTTATTAAAAAGGCCCAGCAATTAATATTGGCCTTTGTAACAAAGCATGCCGTTGCTGAAAACAAAAAAGACGAGAAAGAGCTAATAACTTCACCACACATAACAACAATAAAAACATTGAGTCTTTTTAATGTCGAGCAGCAAGCAAACAAGTTGGGACAGATTTCCGCTTTAATCAATACCCCTGCCTAAAAAGCTATCATGGTAATTTGTTTGAGAGTAAAGAATTATTTCTTTTTCATTCCTTCTGAATGTTGATACCGAGTCTTAAGTCGGCTAGGTGTCCTACAACCATCTCAAACAAAGAACACAATTTTCAGTTTGAAGCAATGACGACTGAGAACGTCATCTCGGTTGAGATTATTATGTTAAGTGCATTTGTAAACAAGCTCAACCTTTCTCTTAAGCTTTGTGTACATTTTTTCTTTCACAACATTGACTCTTTTTTCGAGTAAAATTTCTTCAATCCTGATTTACACAACCAATTGATGCAACTGATTTTAGTACTATGAACTTTCTTTACGCCTAGCTTCCATGAAATTTATTCACAAGCACTCCAAAGCGAACTGCTCTCAGCGCTACACCTCGTGCTCCTTTGACATATATATTGACCGCAAGGTCGTAAGGTAGCCATACCAAAAGAGCGACTGCATAAACCAATATTTGCATATAACATAGACATCCTAATTAATTTTTCGTCTTTGGTTTTCTTTTTATTACCAAGTAATAAATCCATCAACGCAAGAAAGCCAGATAATTGGCAAAGTTAAATTGACATTTCAATTATAATTTCACTAGCAATAGTGGCACTGAAAATACAAGCGAGAAAAAAATTGACCAGCCAATCTTTCTTTCGTTGAAAATGCAACAAAATGAGACGCCAAACTTCAAAGCATGTCATTTCTACACATATTTGTAAATGAAATATCACCATAGATTCTCCTGATACACCTATACAAGCCAGTTAATAATCCACGGATTATCACCATGTGATAACATTTTTCCACAAATTATAAGCTTACCCCCCCCTACATAGTACGTCTTGGCGTTTGAGTGTTAAATATATTTTACAAACGTACACAGTGAATGCAGCTATATTGAGCACAACATTAAGCAGATTTTAACAGTCTCAGGTATGGTAACTCTTAATTTGCAGACTTAGCTCATGTAAACGGATAGTTTTATAGTGCTTCGTTGTACCTTTTTTCTTGTCTCTTCGTTAGGAGCACAATTCGACAGATTTTCGGTATTTTTTTCTTTCTATTTTGCTTTTTTGTTTCTTTTGTTTTGTCTAATTTTATTGGTTATTGTTCCTTTCTGTCTCTTTTCACTTCTGTATCTTTTACTGTATGTTGTCCGTCTTGGTTCTGTGACAATTCTCGATTCTGCTTCTTGTAAACTAAAGGGTAGCAAAGAAAAGTATCCATCTTTCAAGAGAGTTGGTCGAGAAATTTACTCAAAGTCCATCAGAGACAGGTAACCACTCTGTTTCCATGACCAAACTTGACTCCATAATATCACTATAATTAGTATGGTATAGGCTTAGTCTCTGTAATATCGAATACTTTCGTCTGCATAACACAAGTTTCATTTAATAATCTCGTGAAGTCATACCAAGTGTATCTTAAGTGTAGGCTTCTCAGCTTAGTCAAGCTAGAGGAATCTTAACCGAGAAGGTTTTGAGATACTTAGTCGCAAACTAATGAATTTTCACAAGTTAAGGAAACTAACAGATCACAGCGGAAAACAACCAATATCAAAAGCAGCGGGCATTCTCACTATTCGCCATATTTACCATGAGATTTTTTTTTTCAAATAATGCCAATTGACAAGGGTTTAGTTATTCTAAACTCTTGCTTTGTGTGCTTCGTAAGAAATGTCGGAATCTCTAGCGACACAAATACCAAAAGTAAACCTGGACGACGTCGACGTGTACGACATACAAATACGAAAAAACAGAAAGTGAAAATTTCCATTATTATAAATAATCACCGTCTACCGTGACTAAATTATCAAAAACATTTATCACAAATGCTGAACATTAATTAGTTTTGTAGTGAGTAAGATAAGATAAGCTTTTAAAATCCAATCTCGTATATTTTAGGTGTTTCAATCGGTGAATAGGCCATTGTAAGTGAAAGAAAACGAAACGGTAAATGCGTGGATACGCCTGTGAGCACGAACGAATCGAACTTCTTTCCTCCGGGATGTGAAACGTTTACCTCAAGATACAAGAGTCATACTATACTCGACCCTATTTTGGTTGTTAACCAAGTTGAGGAATTCAAAGTCATGTTTATCTTGTTTGTCGAATTTCCCTGACTGGGTGCTTCCACTTATGCGGTCAGGGTTTTTCTTTTTTTTTTTTTCTTTTTTTTACCGAATTGAAAACAAAAGAAATCGTTCAGCCTTGAACACGTGCTCTAAATGAAAAACAAGATGTGGGCGTACAGAATCGCTGAATCATTCCTCGTAAGGCCGGCATCTGGTTATAGTCGTTACGGCTAATGATTCTGAAGTATTGTTTAGATAAACAGATGGCAATTGCATGAGCCACAGTCTTACGAATGATCGCTTCTTTATATTTTGTCAACGAGTTGAATGTATAATTCACAGGCCGGCTATTACAATGAAGTCTAACTGAGCTTACGGTTTTTAGAGAATCAGTACACATCGACATTTCTTTCTAAGTAGGAGTTGTGAAGTATACAGTGCGCACTGTACATAAATGTTTCGCATTTTAACTTACTTGTGGCTATGTATCCTATTAAAGTTGTTCACAAAAAGTTGCATTTACGGCGACAAAACACGGTTTGGCATAGTCAAAGGTGGTTTAGGACACGGTTTTGCAAGACAACGGCCCAACTTTGAATAATGACAAATGTAACCGCACAGGGAAGCCACTTATAAACACAAAGCACGTATATTTTCTATCCTCCTCCCTCTTATTCCTGTTAGAGGAAACAGGTGGTATGACGTCTGCAGCGAAGGCAAAATAGCCGAAAATAGAGGTAAATGTCAAAGAACGACAACAACTAAAATATACATTCAGTTTTCATGGAAAAAAAGGACTTTTATATTGATATGAAAGGGTTGGTGTCGGGCAACGACGGCCCTCCATTCACATCAATAGACAGAAGTATAAAAAATCCTTGTTTACTTGTAAGAACTGTGATTTGAAACGATTTCAAACAAATGCATGGTCCACAAATTACAGTCCTTATGTCTAACACCAGCCGAAGACAAAAGCACCATTCTTTCAGCTCAATCTGCTCCTTATTTGGAAAATGTAAATGTTGTAGTAAATATGATTTGAGCTTACGATGATTTCAAATTTTGTTTGATGATTATGTTTTGTGACAGTGGTTATGTACCTGGAACGAAGAAAAAAACAAATCCAACTAGTTTAAGGTCATTTTGATATTACATTCACCTAAAAAAACAACACATGTTGACTCCAAAATAGTCTTCATTTTATGACAACAGCAAAACTGTTGCAAAATTGTTTCTATGCAATGGTGTCAACGGTTTACACTGCATTCAAAAGCGACCAAAAAACCCGTAACACTTATATTGACTGTGTGAGTTTAGAAAAGGTCATTCGAAAACGTTTTGATATTAGAGGACAACAACATGCAAATGACGATGATTCCGCTAAAAATGTGTATAATTGTGCAAATGCGAGTAAACTAACTGTTCTCAAGATGTCGAAAGGTAAAATAGCTGACTTTAAAATACGAAGCAGCGTTTCAAACGATATGCAATAGAATTCCGACTTCGAAAAAAGGGTAAATGGTCACTTGTCTCGGTCATGTAGTTCTTTATATTTTTTTTATAGCATGATAATGAATTAATGCCAATATTGACAAAAAACATCGTAATTCAACTACTCAGTCCTTTTATACTGATACTCAAGAAAATATGCTTATTTTATTTCTTTCATGCACAACTTGTTCCTGCCTTTTGTCATACTGCAAACTAATTTGTACACTTCAGAACATTTTTGTGATTCTAACACGGATTTTTGGAAGATAAATACTCGTGAGTTATATTGCTGATGCCAAAGCCTGACGTGCACGCCAACATGTTGAGTTATTCAGTAAAAGTTTCCTAATGCTGTCCACACTTTTATTATACTCACAATTCTGTTTGACAGGCTACTTAAAAAAAATTGATTAACTCTAACCATATGCAAAGCCGAGATTGCTGCGGATGAGAGCACTTCAAAACGGGTCTTTGTCTGGAATGAGGAGCGTTTCGGCACTTACCATTGTAAAACCAATATCACAATGTGCCTAAAATAAACAGAACAGCTCAACGTGCACTACAGTTTCGACACCAACATTCTCTAAACCGCTTACTGTGGTTCGTATCATTTTGATTGTTTTGCTACGTAGAATCGTAACAAAGAATTAGCTCTACGGAATTGACAAATGCAAGGATTTATTTCAACCTTTTCTAATGCTGTTGTTGACTTTTGCAGGAGAGCGATAATAGTTTATAAAATGTGTCAGAAACAGATCAAACACATGTTTGGCCCTAAAGGTATCAATTACTTTCTTAACACCACAAGAATTTACCATGCTAAAATTCTACTACACGGTTACAGCAAACTGAAACAACATAAGGACTTATGCCACGTGGAGCACTATAATATGACGCGATTTGGCTGAATTTGTAGTGAAAAATTACGATGAAAGAAAAAACAGGAAACGAAATTGGATCTGGATGAACGTTATACACTGAATGCAAGAAAATGACGAAAAAGAGAATGAATTAACTGTTGCATTCATGCAAAGCGAGGGCGGGTTTTCGAAAGCATTACCAAAATTGGAGTTTCCAGGTTTCTGATTTGGCTAGGATGATTTCGACAGAGCTTATCTGCTTGAATGTTCAACTTGATACGCCACCGATTTTGCATTTCCAATCACGGTAAGGATTGACTTCAGTGGCTACGTGCTCGTGGTGGTCACTCAATCTTCTTTCTCCTGGTTTGCAGTTTTATAAGTTATATGGAGTCAGAGAGTTAGAGGTGATCTTTAAAGAAGCATACATCAAACTCAAAGGTCGATTGCAAAAGTTTGTATCGTTGAGGTAGCGTTATTGATTTTCTGTGGCTTACAACGATACAGAAAAACAGGAAGAACGGATGATTATAAAAAAAAAACAATTTAAAATGACAAGGAAAACGACAAGGTTTTTTGTCGCTTGCCCTGCTGGCTTTTCTTCCTTCTGCGATTCTTTTTTTTTATTATTTTTATAATTTTTTTTAACCCAAAATAAGGGGGGGCCCTCCCCCTAGATCCGCCATTGATATGAGTAGCACTGTCTCGTCCTTCTTACTTTATCAGTAATTTGAATGCTTCAGGCAGATCGCATTGGACTGAAAGCTACTGACAGAAATGGAAATAGGGTAGCAGTGCTACCATCACTTCACGCTCTCCACTCCCTACTTAAACACACACAAAACTTTACTCTCTTTAAAATGACAAAAAAAAAATAGAGATATTGTAAACAATGTAAGCCAGATGCGAACTCAAGGTACAAATTGCCCAAAATACAAAATTTATTTCATTGCAATCATACAAGTATTGTGTGAGGAAGACGTTTGAATTGTTTAATTTTTCCAAGTTTCAAAATGTAAAACGTGTCTGGCAAGAATATCACAGTGTTGAGACGCTGCGCGAGAAATTAATATTTATCAATCAAACTATCTTCGTCAATTATATAGTCGTTTACAAACTTGTGTACGTGTGCACGGAAGGAGATTGTGATAGAAGATCACTGTTGTCACTACACAACACAGCTTGAGTTCTCCTCGTGGCGATTAATAGATAAAGAAAAATGCGATTGAAAAAAAAAAACATATTTCAATGACTGCGTACGCGAAAACAATGTAATCAATAACCGATTTAGAAAAGATAAGTATGTTAAAAGCCCCACGCAAACGAAAAAGCTCTAAAACGCACACTTTTTTAGCTCTTCTGTATATCACTTGATGTTATTCTCCTATGTATCCTGAAACAACAACGACGTAGTGTGGATAGTGTAGCTTTGTTTTTGCGTGCAATTTTCATGATTTATTTTAGCTTCGTAAACTGCTTCTGATTTCTTGAATTAACGAATGAAGAGTAACTCTCTTGATCTGAACGGATGTTTGAAAGTAAATTTTACGGAAACTCTCGCCGGTTTGTGTTTGCTTAATCATGCCATGCAGATCCGTGCATAATGAAAAGCTATCGATCTATTAGCAGATTAACAGAATGCAGAGATAGCTCTTGTGAAATACTCTCTTAAGAAAAATTTACTTAACTTAAATTTCAAAATGGCACGAGCTATTTGACGATAACATGCGAGCTAGATCTTTTTTCAGTAGAACAAGAGTGGATATTCTTCCGTTACGACGCTTAACTGGAGTTTCTCCATTTATTTTAAAATCTTTTCATAAGTAAATCCCTACAATAACCTTGTTGTAAACGCCGACTGAACTAGAACACTTTGAAAGACCGACACAAAAAATCCGCTAAATGTAGTTAATATTTGATATTTTAGCACCTTCCCATACAAATCACATATTTCCTACTTTCCTTTTGTGTTTCCCTCGTAATTTCATTGTTTTGCACAATTTAACTGCGTACTTTGCCGATATTTCGCCGGGTGCGTTAAAACAATGCGCTGCGAAATGAAAAGTGCTAAATCTCAACGACAGGAAGAAGTAGGACGTAAATCTGTTGGATTGAGCAGGATTGAATCTTATTGTGACAAAGCTAAGCCGTAGGCTAAAGAAACAGGTGACGGTCGGAAGAAACAATGATACAGTTATTTATTTATTCCAATCCGAAACAAAAGACATTAAGCAATTGAGGTTAAAAACACCCTAGTTCAACACCAGTCGTGCTAACTGAGTGATCCAAATTTTGCCGCCGTCAATCTGTGAATTCGGTCACCTATAAACTATTCTCTAAACGTTCATGTGGAGGAAACAATCGAGGGTTTTAAAGAATTGAGTAAGGTAAATATTGGCATAACAACTGTTTTTACTGTTCTTTCGTGTTAATAGTTTTGTTATTTCATTTAAGGGTACGAGCACACTCTTCGATGTTTGTTAATGAATTCTCAACTGCCTGAGTCGTTCGACCGTTTATAACAAAACTAAAAAATTCTCTTAGTAAAACTTCATCAGAAAGCAGCGCGACAAATATCCTCCCTCAGAAATAACAAATCCTGAACAGGAATATTTACCTTGCATGCATAGAAAATCCAATAACCCACGACTGGATGAGATTTTTAATTATCATTTGTAAGAGGATATCTAAGCCATAACGTAAAAAACGTCGCATAAAAACTGAAACAACTCAAAGAGGTTATTCGAAATCTGTACGCTAGCTTTAAGAAAACTGTCAACTGTCAAAAAAAACTTCAAGTTGGAAAATAACTTTCGGTGAAAATCTTCAATTGGCGCTCCTATGCTCTAAAAAATTATATTTTCTAATACAAATTACACCTTGAATTCGCAAAACAGGTTTATCAGTGGCACACAACCATTTTGAAATAATGGTCTTGTTCAATAGTCTAATACAATTTGTTGACAACTAGAAATTTTTGCATCGCGTAATGAAAAGTCGAATTTAGATCTGTTTTACTTAATTATCCGATTGATGATGGCTTGGTAATATTAGATGATAAAGGAATGGTCATAGTTCACTGAAAATCGATAGAAAAGTATGATTTTGAACACGAGTAAGATGAGGCACGTTTTCGAAAAAGAACCACCAAGTGAAAAAGCGAAAAAAAAACGCATTTCTTATAGGTCTCCTGTGTTAAACTCGGAAAGCATTTTGAAAACACAGAACTAGTATGAACAAGATTCAAAGACAAATTTGTATAACTGTATACGAAATAATAGAACACATCAATAGAACACCCATTTTTCATCACGTACAATCCTTTTGACCTCCTCTTATCGCTTGAAAACCTATTAAACCCTGTTTAAAAGCTATTGTTATCCCTTCAATTAACGCAGGTGTGACTGGGATACATTCATTCACAATTTCGAAGAAAATCTCGGACACCTTTGTAGTAAGCCATGTTTGAGACTTCAATCTATGTCAGATGGAAACTATTTTTGTTACTGTTTCATCAAAGGCTGACGTTTACGCGAAAACATCTGCATCTAAGGCAAATGTAGGGTGTCGACGCGCCCCCTGTGGCTACAATGAAAACTGTCAAAGTTTGAAGCTTGCGCCATACACAGTCAACAGCGTTTCACCTAGGAGATATATCTGTACTTATAATGTTCCATGTTGTATAACAAAATATTACTTTATTGTTCTCGACATTGAGACCCTTTGAACAAAGGAAAGTTTGCAGTCGAAATAAAAAATGTTAGTTGCGTCAGGGATTTTAAATATCCTTACCACCAGGTGATCTAAAACTAACTTCCATAAAACTCTTTTTTATTACACCTGAGGATTGATAAAAAGCGATGACAGCTGATATTCAAAGCACCCTGTCAAGTACAAATGACGGATCTGGGAAACTAAAAAGTTTGTAAACAAGAGCCCTAGTTTAAATCTTAAGATAGCTTTACCACGCTATAACTGCTCATCCAAATGCATGAGAAAACATGTTTAAAACAGGCAAGTTAATAATTAAGATACACCCTCAAGAGAACCAGGGATTGGTTTTTTAGAGACATTTTAGTTTTGGGAGAAGGACGTCTGAGCTAGAATCTAAAAATCGAAGTGACGAAATGGTAATTGCTTTTAAATTGTGACGATTTGTTTTAAAATCAAAATGTCTGTGTTTTTTCTTTCTTCTCCGGGCAGGCGACCCGACAGGCAACAGGAAGAAAGTGTTAATTTATACTAGAAGCACCTGGGGTTTTAAGGCACCAACGAATCAACGAGTTTCACAGAAAAATTACTGACTTTTTGCGGTCGCGTCAAGTTTCTTCTTGAACAAGGGAAACCTGGGCTATCTTAATTCAACACTTATATTTGATGTCCAGACGAAGCGCTCGAAACCATACTGACGGCGTTAGCCGCATTTGAACTGGGTAACCCAATTGACTGTGACCAAGAAAAGGTGAAAAAGCAGTTGTTGAACATTAATTGATAAACATATCCATATCAAAAAAAGCGGGTGAGCTGACTTTGAGGATTCAATACAACACAAAAAACTGATCACTTCAGTTTGCAAGAGCCAAGTGAGCAACCTTCCCCGAGAGCTTACTTCAACATGAATAACACAACAAATAACGAAACTGGACTGGGAAATATAAATAGACAAGAGGATGAGTTAAAGAGGAAGCTTCTCTTGTCATTTTACGTGATCGTGTTGTTCTTCACAGTGGTGGGAAACACGCTAGTATGTTTGGCCATCTACATCGACCAACGGTTGCGTAGTCCGACCAATTGGTTTATTGCGTCACTGGCGGTCAGTGACTTGTTTTACGGGCTCGCGGGGCTGCCATTCCGAATCGTGGTGAATGTGACGGCCTTAACGTATCTAAGCTTGTGTTATCTTTGGATATGGGTGGACATGGTCTGCGCCGCAGCCTCCATGGCTAACTTAGCTGTCATATCGGTGGATAGATACTTGAAAATAACCAAACCGTTCAGTTACCATAAACATATGACGAAAAAACGTTCGTTCTTGGCTATAGGCGGCGTGTGGCTGTACGCGCCCATATTGGCGTCGTTTGCCATAATCAAATGGCCTGGAGCACACGGGGTAATAATAGACGTTTCGCACGATCTCTGCTTCAACGACAACAAAGTGTTTTACACTGTGGCCAACATAGTTGCTTTCCTTTCTCCGCTCATTGTGTTGATCGTCAGTTACAGTTTAATTTTTCGCACAGCCTTGAGCCATTTCAACAAAATGAAGGACATGATCGTAGGCTCAAGCAGTAAAGAGGACAGGCGCAAGCAGAGAAGTATCGTGCGCGACTTCAAAGCCACCAAAACACTAGCCATTGTGCTGGGTACATTCACAGTATGCTGGTTGCCCTTTTTCATTATGTTCACTATTTCTTACTACAATCCTAACTATCTACGTCACTTTCCACTGAAGGTGCAAAGAGCGATCTACTATCTCTTCTTCTTCATACTACCGAACCTAAATAGCGCTTGTAACCCTGTCATTTATGCCTACTTCAACATCGAGTACCGCCGGGCTTTCAAGAAGATTATGTGGTCGTTGTGCGAAGATTCAAGCCGAGACCAGACATTTAGGAGGAGAAAGAGTTCATTAACGAGCTTCTTCCAAGCTAACCTCGTAAGACGTGGGAGTCCGCAGGATTACATAGCAGACGACAAGAATCACAATGATAGGAAGTCTTTTCTTAACGGAAATACTGAGACGACACACGTCTGAAGGACTTAACGCGGGATTTCTTTGAATAGCACACAAGATATGAAAAGCCTCACAGTGGATAGCTTTAAGAAGAAAAATTATACGAACGTTCTCGGAGATTACTTTAGTTGTGACGCCGGCTTTATCACCAAAAATCATGTACCAGATTTGCATGTGTACTTTAAAGCAAGCATTCTCTTTGATAATCGAGTGCCAAAATGCGGCGCGTAACGATTGCATTAAAAGGCTCGGATTTAACACTGCAGCTTGCTAGCAAGCAGTAATTTCTATTAATCTGCTAAACTTCTGAACAATTAAGACAAAAGTTTCGTCTAAGTTTACATATTAATTACGCAGCAGCCAAGGTTCCCTAGGAATACAGAGTTTTTCTTTGCAGGTCTAGCCTCGCAGCGAAACGAATTTACAAGACGTCCGCGAGCCTTTGATTTTGGCGGGAAAATGTGATTTGCCATAGTAATGAAAATTTGTCTCGAAGATCTTTCGACAATGACGTAATGCATGTAGCTAATCAAAAGTCTTGGAAACATGGCTCACGTTCAGTAGATGATTTTGTGACCAGGAAAACGCTTTCAATCGTCCCAGCTGAGTTAACTTTCTCACTCACTAAAATTAAGTTCTAGATGTATATCTCCACTGACATATCATTAAAAATTTTGCAGTAAAATCTCTTTCACATACAACTGTAGTGGAACTCGTTCGTAAAGACAAACGCATGTTACCCAGGCCTAATCGAATAACATATATTTTTTAGTTTTTAATAACATATGTACATAAAGAGAGGGTTACACAGAATATTTGGGACTTTGACCAATCTTGATAGAAAAACAATCATTAAAATCTTGGTAATTATCCTTGCGTTCCTCTTTTCTTTAGAATAATAGCAAACACTGAATTTAACATTGTTCCGTCACACGCTCACTACTTGGTTATCCAACAGCTTATGAAAACCCAAAATTCCTCATCTTTTTAAAGGCAGGAATCCTTATTCTGCCCCCACCCTCTCCCCTCCCAAAAAGTACATTTTGTTGTTGATGTTATGTTTTTTTCAATGTTTTCTTTGGTTTGTTTGTCTATTGGTATGAGCACTCTGTACTTGGTGGTAATAAACAGGAAATTTTAAACACTGTGGCAGAGGTCACTTCTTCATGCTCTGTGGAATTTTGCCACTTTTTCTTTCTTAACACATTTTGATGTCACATGTGATCTACTACCACCACACAGACACATGGAAACATGGAACACTGAATTTTTTTTTAAGTGATATCATATTTGTTTTTGTTGATGGAACAAAGCATTCTTTCAAAAAGAACTCCTTAATAATTCCTATTATTTTTTTAAAATTTCAATTGTGCAAATATTGAAATCAATCCTAAGGTAACAACATCAAAAATAAATGAATAAATAATAGCAAATCTTCAAGCCAAGTCATCAAACATGAAACTAGTATGCATTAATTAAGTCTCTGAATCATCAGCCTTTTCTGGGTCATAGAATGTCTTGTTTAGTCAATTAAGTGTTATTTTTATGGTATGATAGCAAAACAATCTTATTCACAAATTGTCTTGTGTTTCTTTTTGAACTGTTAATCTTTTATGCTCATTTAGTTACTCTGTTTAAGTACTATACTGTTTTTTCTATCTTTGCTTGATCATAATTTACGACATGAGAATTATCATGTCTACTCATTTTCTGCTAGAAGTTTGCTAGTTTATTATAGTTCTGTCTCTTTAAATTCTATTGTTTCTTTTTAGCCTTATCTAAGTTAGATTCTATCTTTAATTATCGTATTTCAGTTCAAACCTACAACTTAACTTTTTTCTACTGCTACTGTGACTATGGCCAACAATCTTTGATCATTGCCATCTTCTTGACCCTTCATGTCAAACGCTACCAATTTATCTAGACCTTTGAACTTTGATCTGTCATTGAATCAGTTTAAATCTTCCAAGTGGAGTTTGAATTATTGTCACCTCACACCATGCCACCCCTGTAGTTTTTGAATATTTGAATAAGCTGCAACCTCTAGAATCTTCACATTTACAATACAAGCTCTCTGGAGGACAAATATAACCTTTGAACTTTTTAATTCCTTTTCCTTGAAGAAAATTACAGACCCTCAACCTGCTTCCAAATTGAAAATTTTCTATAAATGAAGCCATAAACTACATGTTTTTGATCAAAAGATGTCTTCCATTCATACTCTTATATTGTGGAAGTAAAAAAGTTTGAAAATCTTTGAGCCTAGATCTTTAAATCTGGTTTCCAAAAGTAATGGAACAGTTTCAGCCTTGAAACACAGTCATCAACTATTTTTGTCTCTCTCATTCTATATCTATCTGTTTACCACATTTATCAGATATCAGGATATTGGCAACAAAAAGAAAATTTACACTCAATGTCTAGGGAAAAAGGTTGATATGTATGAAGGACTAAAGAAAAGGTGTGACAGGTCTCATGGGGTTGGGAACACATGTGCTAATATTGCATTAGCTATGCTCAAGGCAAACTTTCAGACTATAAGAACCACATTTTGCAACACAAGTTATAAAAAAACCGGTAAGTCACTATGTTTTAAAGGGAATGTTAAAAGGGTATGTTTTGCTGTGATAAAGCTCAAAATAAAATGGTAAATAAACAGGATACCTGTAATTCAATAAGTTCTGCTTTAGAAAAGTCTCAATTTTTTTTTGTTTTTCCCGGCTTTGTTACCTTTTGCAGATTTCAATGAATGTTTCAATTTTTTTTAACCTATAATTTGCATGACAATGCTTGATTCTTAATTTCTAGTTTGAAAACATTTTGTGGTTAAAATCAAAATTTTGGAGCTCTGGCCCAGTTGCATGCTTGCATGATTGTTCAGATTGTTTCAATGCATTTTTTCAATTTTAATTTTCAAGAGTTTTTACAAAATACATGGGTAAGTATCTGCGTATCTCGTACCACACAGCTGGTAAAACTATTCCACTTTTCAATTTACTATTACGATATAAAATATTTCTCAATTACTTTATGGCCTTTGGTATCTTAGCCATTTACGCCACCATAGGGAAATTATAAATATCTCATGATGGCATGTTATTTCTTGATGTACTGCATTTTATTTTCTGCACATCACTGGCTATTTTCTGCGCACCACTGGCAAGAGAGATACAGGCATGTAAAGCTAAAGAGAACATCTCGGCTAAATTACGTCAAAATATCGGGCAAGAAAGTCTCCTCATTGCTGCCTTAAGCACTCTATTCAAACCGCGCGTATTTGATCTTATTCTTGAACAAATACAAAGTTCATGCATGTTTCATCTATGATTTATGTCAAAGCATGAATCTGAGTGCGAACTGTTTACCGCTTACCTCTAGAAAAGTGAACGCTTCTTGCCAGATTTGTCGTCCTTCC